CTGTCGGTGAGCAACGGACGGCCATATGCGGTACATCCACACATGCTGCAGCGTCGCACGCGAGCTGATGAACGATGACCCGTTCAATTGCTCCGAGTACAGATCGAATCTGCATTTTTGAGGCGCATTCTGCCCGGGAGGCAGCGTTCCGGGCACCGCCTCTGAGCAAAACCGATTTCCGAACCCGGTTTGGTACCGGTGAGGATCCGAGTCAGTCGGCTCCGTGGAGAACGCCGAGGCGGCAGTGGCCCCGACCATGGCGCAATTGCTATTTTTTTTGTGCGCTGGTGCGTGAGGGGTAGGGTATAAAGGAATCCACGCGGCTGATTCTGACTCGATGATGTAATGTGTTCAGCTGCAGGTCACTGACTAGACGTCCGTTACGTGAGTCGTCTTTTTGTCCGGCGGTCGTTGGGAGGTATTGAAGGAGACGTTGAAATGGAGACGGAGGCGAGAGCCGGTGGGATTTTACGAAAGTCGATGGGAAGTAATGTGTTTCAGGAAGCTGGATATTAGACTCTGAAGAACAGGTGATGATTAAAAGCTTCGGTGAGCTCAAGGGCGAGAAATAGAGCGGCCTGGGCCAGAGGTCTGAGCTGCATTCCGCCATCACTGTGTAAGGCATTCTGCGTTCCTTGTCTCATCCTTTTCCGGCAATCTATGAAGCTTATCGGGGGTAGGCTTGCAAATTGCCGGCAACCGGCAAAGCGCGGGCAATTAATCCGGCAAGCTCTTTGTCCTTCCCTTTCCCCTCTCATCCTTCGTCTCGAGGTTACCGTAGCCCACTAACCCCGAGACGAATGACAGCATTCAGTCAGCGCGATGCTCGCTAGAGCTTCTGCTGATAAACTAATATCAGCGTGTCTTCATTTACATACTGAGCGACCCTCGTCATGTCTTCTCCGGACTTTGGACGCAGGGTATATCGCCAAGAGCCTGGATCCGAAGATTGATTCTCCTCGGAGGCAGAATTTCTATCCGTTGTAGCTCCAGATCCCTCAGTTCGGCCACAAGTTTTGAGACACATGTCTACGATAACCTCCGAACCCCTCCCTTGACCTATTTGCCACACGCAATGGCTCTGATCCAATTCGTCACCGTGCACAGCACGCGCCTCTTTGCGATCCTCCTCATCGCGGCTGCGGCTCTAGCTCTGCATAAGCTTATTACCCGGCGCGGCTCCGCAAAACGCCGGAACCTCCGGCTACCACCGGGCCCACCCGGCGAACCGATCCTAGGCCACCTCCGCGTCATACCGACCGACAATCCGGAGTACGCCTACGCCGCTTGGTCGAAGGAGTATAACTCTGATGTGTTGTACTTCAACGTGCTGGGACAGGATGTCGTTGTGCTCAACTCGGTCAAGGCAGCGGTCGATCTGCTCGACAAGCGCGGCGCGAACTACTGCGACCGCCCCCGCTTTGTGTTATTCGAGGAGATGGGATGGAAGAAGACGTTGACATTCCTCCGATGGGGTCCCGAATTCCGCATGCACAGAAAGATTCTACAGAAGAGCTTTCAAAAGTCGAATATCCAGGTCTACCAAGACCTGCAGGAGAGAGAGGCCAAGACTCTGGTTGAGGGGATCCTGAAGCAGCCTGAGGCCTGGGAAACGGCTTTGAGGAGATTTGCTACTGCCATTGTCATGAACATCGGTTTTGGGGTCGAGGTTACAAGCGACAATGACCCATATATCCAAATGGCTATCGATGCATCCTATGCTCTTGGCCACGGAGGGGCTCCAGCTGGTACTTTGGTTGATTTCTTCCCATTCGTAAAGCATCTCCCAGACTGGCTTATCAGAGATCGCTCTCTCAAGTTCGCTCGAGACTGGAAGTGGGCCATCCGGCGGATTCACGACGCACCATACGCTGCCGTCACGGCCCAAAAGTCCCCCGAGCACAGTCTCATTAAGATATTGCTCGACCAGAGAAATACGCAGTTAAAAAGCGGTTTCTCGGATTTATCAGAGGACGACATCAAAGGAGCTGCCGGAGCTGTTTATGCTGCAGGTCAGGATACGACTTGGTCTACGCTAGTGGTATTCGTCCTCAACATGGTTCTACACCCTGAAATCCAAGAGAAGGCCCAAAGGATGGTCGACGAAGTCGTTGGAGACAACAGACTGCCAACATTTGAGGATCGGCCAAAACTGCTATACATCGACTACATCGTCCAGGAGACACTACGATGGTGCCCTGTATCACCAATCGGGGTGCCACACCGGTCGTTACAAGATGATGTTTACGAGGGAATGTTCATTCCCAAGGGGTCGCTTGTTTATGCCAATGCGCGTGCAATGACTCACGATGAACACACGTATTCTGACCCTGAATCTTTCAATCCTAATCGGTATATCCCCGTTGAGGAAGGAGGCCTTGGTGAGCCCTTTCCTACGGGACAATTCGGTTTCGGTCGAAGGATATGCGTTGGGAAGCACCTGGCGGAAGCGAGTGTGTGGATCGTGGTTGCGTCTATACTGGCAACAATGAGCATTGAGAAAGCAACCGGGCCCGGCGATGCAAAGATTGCCCCCCGAGTTGAGTTGACTAATGGGCTTACCAGCCACCCGAAACATTTCGAGTGTCAAATTGTCCCAAGGACTAGAAGCAAAACATCTTCATAGGTTGATACCTAGTCACTGGGGCGGCAATAGACGTTGAAATGATCTCAATAAGGCTCCCTTCTTTTTCATCATGTGTTTTCTTCCTAATACGAACATAGCCCGCAGCCGAAGCGGGCAGCTCTCTTCTTTTATTTACGGGCTCCATACGGCACCTGTTGAGCTCTGCGACGACCCTTCACTGCCATTTGTGACGTGGTCATTCTCGACGAAATTCGTTACCGCCTTCTTCGTGTCATCATGGGGCGTTATCAATAACAGTCTGACTCTTGCGCCATAAAAGTACGGAAGCTCGTCTCCCCAAAACTGGACGCGCAACATACCCTTCACAAAACCTCCCATTCGATCAAAAGCCACATCGCCGTTCTGTTTTATTTCGCGCATAAAATCCTCCTTCATTGTTTCCGACTCCTCAGATGGAGCTGTCGAAGCCTGGTCTGTTGCAACATGGAGTCGGCAAATCCAACCACTCAAGCTTTGGTCCATTTTGGCCGTTACGAATCCGAGATAAACAGATATTCGTACTTCTTTTTGGTCTTCGTCCAAGTTTGTAAGGATATTGGGGACGTAAACATCGTTAATACTTACGGCTCCGCCTTTGTTCACCATGTCCAGCCACATAATTCTGTCGTGGGAATCGGTTGCCAGCTGATGAAATCGAGCCCATGCAGACTGTAGCTTGGTTGACCCAAAGATTGGTAGTATACCATATCTTCCAGCCAAGGCCGAGTCTGTCAAAGGTGACGTTTCCAGCTTCATCCAGGCCGGAATTAGCAGTGCCCTTTCCCTGGGTTTGTGCCGGACAATGAGTGATTTTCGTCTTGAGGATCTCAGCGGTTCAAAAAGTCCACGTCGAATCATAAGTGGATTGGGTGGAAATGGCTGCCTTGAGACGTATAGAGTTTTCCCATTGTCGTGGCCGGAGACCTGGATCCATGCCTGCGCTCCCTCGCTGTCTTCGACATCCAAGGCGACAATGTAGCCTGCCATACCTGTGTATAGCATAGGGAGTTTTATCGACAGACCTGCGTTCGTCATTTGGTACGTAGAAAGGCCTCCAGTTTCGTCGAGATTTGAATCTCTCCGTCGAAACCTGTGGGAATTTCTGAATGCCAAAGGCGAAGGCGCGAGGAAACTGGACCAATTCGTTGGTGTGATCGGGTAGATCCATTCCCAGCAAAAGATTGTGTGGTCATTATCCGACTTTACAATCTCTTCCTGGAGTCTTGTAAATGCCTTCATGCCCTCTCCATATAGCAAAGGCATATTGATGTCGAAGAGGCCCAGCATGCAATAGGCAAGATCTTCCTCGCGAGTAACTTCCCGTTTGGAGAGCCAGGACATCTTCGTTGATGCACCGGCAGATAAAGGCGATATGGTACCATCGTTGATGAGATAACCACGATCGATGCCAGTGGCATGGTGTATTTCATCAGACAGTGACGTTTCTCGGCTTCCGATGCTGGTCCAGTCGTATGCATAGAACACAACGCTGGTTGGGGCTAAGAGTTCCTGTAAGGTCCATCCTCGAGTGAACCAGCGACTTTCCCTGAACCGCTCCATCAAAGCATCCCTGTCGCTTTCGGTATTTGTCGTGCCCGTGGGAACATCCACCAAATATGCGTAGCATATCTGGGACTGGGCGTACCACCGGAACATGGAGTTGATAACCTCAGATAACTCTGCTGAGCTCGTCTTGTCAACGCAGTTCGTGTCAACCCACAGCCATTCAAGTCCATCGGCCTTCGCCTGTTGACAGGCTCCATAGATCTTCGAATAGCCGGCTTTTCTGGACGCCTCTTGTAGGTCTTGCCATTCCTGGAACGACACCTCTGCATCTCCCCAGGTATGGGACAGTATGGCGTATGGTGGTATATCCGACCCTGAGAACTCCTGGAGCTTGAACGAATTTACGTCGATGAGGCGCATTGTGATTAATGAGGCTTGCCGTAAGTCGCCGGTCTCGCATCCGTAAAAGGCAAACGACCTCGTGACCCGGCCGGGAAATTGTGTAAAGAAATAAGAGGTTTTCGTTGCCCCAGGTGCGAACCTTCTGAGCTTTGCTGCTGAGGTTAAGAGTCAGGCGTCGTTGGGTAGGTAAAAATCAGTGGAACCACGGTTTTTCATTGTCGCCGATCCCGAGGCGGGCTTCATTGGGGCCACGCGTATGCAAGTGAGCGGGACGTCTTCTTAGGTTAAAAACCCTCCGACCAATTAAACACTTTTGACTTTTACGCAACATTTTCTTCAGCGGTCATGAACGTCCAGTGTCATGGGAAGGGCAGACTGTGGGGATAGCTTGCGGGAATTCAGAAGTATGCAAGCTGTATTTACTTCAACAACATCGCACCATCTGTCTTTACCTGACACTGAATACTCATGAGGCCATGTCTATCGTTTCACACACCTCCCTTATTGGCATCTTCGTTTGGAATATCATGCCGCGGCTTCTCTCTCGTACCTGCTCCGAGCCCAGCTTGTGGCCGTTATTGTGCCGTCGCAGGATCACTCCCCAGATGAACTGGCGCGTGTTAGGTATGCACGCCACAAACACCGCGACGTAGACCTCAATGTCGGTCCACATGGCGGCTGGCATGATGAAGGCTGAAGACACAACGTCAGCACATCGCGGGAAGCTTGGCGTTGGAGAGTGCCTACCAGTTGAATTGAGGGGATACTTGGTCAACTCCTTGATCGTCAATATCCGAATAATGCTTACTACTGTGAGGCTTTGAGCCGTTAGCACGTACCCACAACACAAGGCTCCGTAATCCTTACAAAAGTCCCAAGCTGAACATGAACATCACGGCAATCTTCTTGCGCCGCTTCATGTTCAACCCCCATATTTGCGTGGCCGGCAGGCTGAGCATCCACAGGTCCAGCGCAACGCTGATACTCCCTTGTGCCATCCCGATTTGCTCTATGCTGATGCAATGCCCCTCTGTCTCTCCCGTCCAGAAGGTCCAGGCCAGATTGATGGGATGGCATTGAAACATGGTGATGAGCATGCAGATGAAGCCGACAGAAAAGTTGAAGGCATGCGTACCCCAAACGACCCGCCGGAAATTTTCGTCGGGGAAAATTCTGAGGTACATGAAGAGAATCGAGGCTTTCGCTAGCGTGATGATGCAGTGGTAGAAAACCTGCAGGACGTAAAAGGTCTATGCGAGTATTAGAACGATTCCTCAACGGAGAGGGAGTATCTCAAGCATAAGATTCTAAAGGGCCACATACCAAGAAAAAGTGCGTAATCTCATGCGGAGTGAGACTCCAGAGATCTCTTCCAGCTCCAAACTTCCCCCCTGTGTACACGCATCAGCGAAGTTCTATCTTCAATTGGCCTTTAGCCTTTTCTCTCGTTACTCACACAGCATGTTGGCTGAGAATAGTCCGATTAGTACGCACTAAAACTTCAGTCAGTTCAGTTATACGCCATAACGTCCCTTGAGGAGTCATGGATACGTCGCGATGTGGGAGAAGCTCACATATGCCAACACGATAGTGGTGTCGTCCGCCCCCCACGTAGCAAATCGGGCGATCTTAACCGACACGCGCAGTATGACGGCCAGCGTAGGAAGCAGAGCGAACAAAATGACACGGGGCACTACCGTTGCGCCGAATTCGTCGTGTAGTGAGAAGTCGCATGCGTCCTGGGTAATCTTTTGCGTTACTGCGTATAGAAGAAGGGAAGTCAGCGGGTGACTATCTGAGGGATGGGGAGCCTGTTGCTCTTACCCAGGGCTTCCTTGACGGAGCAGCTTGCGGCGGCGCAACTCTCGACATAACGGAGAAAGTCGGTGTCCTGACACAGACAAGCCTGATCGGTGGTGCTGCAATCTGAATTGACGAGGCCTTCTAGAAGGCATGGTAACTGAAGGCATACTTCTTAGCATCATGCTGTGAAAGGACGACTACCGAATCACGGATGTCTTACTGTGCAATTCGGGTTATCATAGAGACGATCGATCTGCGCGAAGGTCGCCGAGACGAGGGATAGAACGAGAAGTAGCAGCCGAATCGTGTACATGGCTGCGGCCCAAGAGTGAAGGGAAACCTCACGCGTCAGACGGCAGTTTCTTCACTGCCAGTCGACGTGCAAAATCGGCAGTTGTGGCTCTTTGAACGTGTTTTTCTTTCGACGAAAGACAACGCGGGTTTGTCGTGGCATGAAGATGGAAATTTCGAATAACGTGATGTCGATTGCCGATAAATTCTATCTAGGACCAATTTCGAGCAGGACACCAAACCTCCACACGTGCTGCTCCGCCAGCCCGCTATCGGCATCCCTAGAGCCTCTTCACGTGTGGCGGCCGTCTGTGAAAATATCCCCTTGCCCCGTGGCTTGCGCCTTCCAGCCATACTAAGCTTCTTCTTCGTGTGGTGCTGGGTAAGTGGTAGCGGCAGGTGTCGGGGCTGCCAGGGACATCACCGGATGGAGACTAGCCCAGCCGAGCGAGGCGAGAGCTCTACACTGGATGCGGCTTCTATATACCCAAAGGGGAAAATGCCACCGCTTTTGCCAGGTGGTTTCCGGAGGTGCATCTTCAGCATCTTGATCGAGACCTCAAAGAAAGCGCTATCGTCAGCGGCAAGGGTTGAAAGAGCATCGCGCCTCTTTGCAGGTTTCGCCGGTCTTCTCACCGAATCGCCGACCCCGGCTGGGCAGCCATGGCGATTAGACCGAAGCTTCATGCCGGGCGGTGTCGTTATGAGTGTATCGTTCAGCCGCCGATGCCCACGCCGATTCCACGGGCTGGACCCGAGTGCGATCTCGCCCGCCGCAGCCCTGGCCCCTCCTACCATATCGCGGACGGGCAAACGAACAAACACCTTCATAACTCTTTTACTGAGCGCATGAGCCTGGCTTTTCTATCATTGCGATAGAACAGCCCTTCCTGAGATCGCGTCGTTGAGATTCCTGGTCCCTCATGAGGATCATCAGGCTTGGCAGGCCGCGAAACGGCCCCGACTCCAAGTGGATCCTCCGAGGAAATCGCCGATCGGCGTCCGGGGAAGGGTGGGTGGGTCTCGGTGCCACGATCCACTCCGCCTTGCCACGTCCCGGAGATCTGGAAAGCGTCCCGCTCCAGGCCTTGTTTATCCCGCCTGCACACCCACCGATCGGCGCCTAATCAATCTCTCATGTATGTTTCCCTGCTTTTCGCCTGCCATCTACCTTACTACCCTGCATTACCTCCCCGGCCCCCAGTATTCCTTCCAATGGGCTGCGAAGTTAGTGGTCCAGGCTCGTGATTCGCATTCTACTTTGCCATCTCACCTTTCCCATCCCACGGTGCTTTTGCGATGCTGAAACCTCGCCCGACACCGTCCGCATCCGCATGACAGCCGCGCGCCATGGATCGAAGCTAAGCCGTTCTCTCGGAACACGGCGCTCGGTGCATTTCAGCCGTGCTCTTCGGCTCGAGGATCCTCACCCTCGGGCCCAAGCGTGCCTGTCTACCATGCACATGGGAAAATGCGTAGCATTTCCGACTTAATGAACCCAAGCAGAGAGAAAAGCTTATGGTAAAGTCAACTTCGCCAAGAACAAGCGCTCGGAAATCTTAAAAGCAGTTGCTCAACAATGCTTGCCCCCCTTCTTGGAGGCGATTTCTGTTATTCATAGGGAGTATCTCATTATTTAAGCTCGGGCTGTGTTAAATCGTTCGCCTCCCTCAAGCCCCAAAGCCCCAAAGCTTCCTTCTAGCCATGGCTCAAAATTCATCCCAAATGTTCAAAAGAGGCGACGTCCTCATGTCAGTTCCAATCAAGTCCAAAGCCTTCCAAGGCTCGGAACTCCCCGAACGAATCTTGCCTCCTCACCCCGATTATGCGAGGACACCTAGACCCGTTTCAATGTTGCCTCCTTGGTATGACTGTTTCCCGATGCAGCAAACACATGATAATCCCCAAAAATCAATGCTTGATAAACTTCTATTCGCAATGGATATTACGACCCTTATTTCATGCGCCCGTTAAACCAAAAGTCCGCTTTCGTGAAAATATTTATGCTGCATCCTCCACCGCGGCGAACCGCTCCTCGGCCATGGAAGCCTCGGGATCAGTCCAGTTGACAGGTTTGTGAATGCGCAGGAGGCGCAGGAAGTAGTCCTCGATAACCAGCAGGTTGAGAAGGACGCCGTTGCAGTTCCACGCGATGCCGCAGACAATGGCGCCAGCGACGGCGTCGAGAACGAAGTGGTTCGCGGTCGCGACGATGGCGGTGAGGATGAGGGCGGGGTAGGACATGCCGGCGGCGACGATGGCGAAGCGCTTCCAGGGGCGCGAGCGGATCGAGGGCAGCGGGAGGGTAGCGACGGTCAAACCGATCAGGAGGGAGTAGCCGAAGTGCAGCGAGGGCATGGCAGCTATAATCATGTCAGCATATCGCGATAGAACATATTGTATCCCAAGTTTGGCGTACCATATTGGTTGCAGAACTTGTTAGTGGTCCAGACACTGCTCTCGCCGTCGGCGCTGTGCACCGTGTCCACGAATCCGAAACTCTTAGCCTCGCCGGCATCGGGGCCGTTGTAGGTGGGGTCGCTCAGCAGGCGAGGCGGCATGCAAGGCCACAGGGTGAAGACGACGAAGGCGAGCAGGTTGCAGGTAGCCATGGTGCGACGGCGGGCCTCGTACAGCGCAGGGCCGGCCGAGTTCCACCTGACGTTCTCGTTGCCGCCGAGCTTGGTGGAGATGGCGCGGCGTCTGCGGGTGGTCGTGACGTAGTACAGAATGACGAGGAAGAGGATGGTGCCGGGAATATGGATGAAGGAGTAGATGCGGTTGATCCAGTGCATGACGGTGGGCAGCTGGAGGAAGTACTGCTGGACGGGCACCTCGATGAAGACGTGCAGGCGCTGCTCGAGGTGGATGAGCTGCAGGGCGTGCTTGCGGGCGACGTCGACGGTGCCCTCATTGAGGGTCAGAGCCGTGAAGGCTCGGCCGACCTGGTAGACCTAGTATCAAACAATGTTAGCTGAGGCTGAAGACTGCCAACGGAAGGCTTTGCTTACCCAGTAAATCAGGGCCCAGTACCATGCCTCCACCAAGAACGGGAACTTGCGGAGCACGCGGGAGAGGAGGCGGTCCTTGAATACTCTGGTGTTTGGTGATGATACCATGCGCTGGTACCCAAAGAACTTGATCCGTCGTATGCGTCGGGGCGGCTCCTCCTGCGGCGTCAACGTCGATGATGAGCTCCACGCGCCGACCGAGAGCAGCGACTCTTCCGAGTCGGGTGTCGAGTTGCCGGAGCGGCGCTCGTCGGAGCGCTTGTGTTCGACATCGTCAAAGTCGGATCCCCTCCACCCCAGGTTGTCGTAGGCGTTGCTGTTTCCGGTGTTGCGGTTGAAGTAGGTCCCGCCGAATAGGAGGGTGATTACCACCAAGGGCTCTGCCACGGCACCGATACCCATATTTTCTGTCTCCTGCTCGGGTGTGTGGGTTGGTGGTGGTGGTGGTGGTGAGGTCGAGTGTGGCAGATGGGAAAGAGGTGAAAGCTGATGACGGAAGAAACAGCCGACCTGATGGGGAAGTTGGCGATGACTGAGTGAGGAGTGAGGGAAACTGGAGACTTGGCTGCGTCCAGGTCCGCCGGCGCCGCTTCCTATATGAAGAGCGGGAGGCTCGGGAAAAGGGTGCGTTGGTTCTTCCGAGGCGGTAGCGGATGGGATGGGAATCTGACGGACGAAGCCCACCGGGGAGTGGTTCGTTGAGGTCCAATGACAGACACGAGCGATCGGAAGGGGGTGCTTGTCGGTTACGTGAGATTAAGATTGGTCCCGAACTCCAAAGGGGGCGAACGGTACTAATAAGCTATGCGAAGTGGTGCTGCCTTGTATGCCTTATGCGGGTGATGGGTTGGATGAGGCAAGGTTGTAGGTGGATGAGTTGTTGATGAAGTAAGAGGAACAGAGAGTGGTGAAGGGAGAGCTGGCGATAGGGGAATATTGAATGAGACGGTACATATGGTACGGTAAGCCAACATGCATCACACAGCAGCAGCAGGCAGAAGGGCAGAATTCAGATAGGTAACGGGAAGCATGGGTGATGAGATGGAGCATGGCCGTAGGTAATAGCGACCATAATAGAACAGAAAACATTGGACATCGGCACAGTTTTGCGCACAACGGCCCTCAGCCCAGGCTCGGCACAACCCACCAAGCTGGACCTTGTCGTCTTTTGCCCGACCCGACTGCGTATGGATGGGATGGATTGTACTTTGCAGAGTGCCAAAGAAGGCCAAGAACACACAACAGTCGCAGACAAGGTTGGCGACCAGGGTTCCCTCTGCCATTGCGCAGCGCTGCGAATCCCGCACAAATCCTCCTGAGCGGTCGTTCGCACCTCGCACCTCGCATTTCGCATTGCCTCCACTATGTCTCCGTCTCTCTCGTTTTGCCCATGATTACCTTACCTATCCTTACCTGACTGAGCCCTCCCCTCCCCTCCTCCCACCTACCCGTCACGGCCTTGGGGGGGACTAGACAACACCAGCCACTGTCCACATCAGCGGGCTCCGCAGGGCTTTCGTCCCTGGCCGATTATCTTTGGGGGAGGAGGAAGGCAAAGGCAGATCGTCTGGAAAGCCGCGCACACTCGCACAAGGGCTGTCGCGTGGGCTGGGCAGAATAGCTCTGCAAGGTCTGCCCGAGACCCTGTCCATGACCACGGAATTCCGCGCTGCAGCCAATTGGCGAGCACGTTGTGGGCTTCTTTTCCCTTCTCACCTGGGGCCGGCGGACTGTGCTCCTGCGACATCCCTGACGTGGACGAATCGCCCGCCAAGTGCCGCGAGCGCCAAGACGAGGGTCACACCTTGCGCTTCTCTCTTGCTCACCCGTCTTCCGGTAGCGTAGGTAGGGAAACTTTGCGCGTACTTTGACGGGTACTTACCGCAGGAGTCTGTTCTGTTTGTACCCCGAAAGAACGGCTCCTAGCGGTGGTGGTTGGTGCATGTGCCCCCCCACCCTGGGGTGTGAGTGGCCTGTTATTTGTTTGAATTTCTCTTGTATTGGTCTTAGT